GATAATTTTTAAATTTTTAATATTTTTATAATACCTAAATAATTTATATTCACTTTTGCTCCAGTCAAAAAGTATACAAAAATAATTCAATATTTATTCAAAAATCGCATTGGAAATTAAGAAAACTTAACTGCATTTAAGTATATTTATTGTTTTATACTTGATAAGACTCCATGCTATTCAATAAAAAATAATGAGCTTGCTATTAATAAAATAAAAATTCAATAATTATTATTTATTATTTTATTTACTTATTTTGAACAAGGAAAAGTTGTTAATCATATTTTAGTATTCATGTACTCATTAACAATGTTAAACAGCCCTTAAAACTACTTCACTGACTTTGACTGACTTTGGCAATTGCTTTAAGGTAATTCCTGTCATCAGATTCAATTTTGACTGCCTTCTGAACTACAATTAGCCTGCTCCTAACTGTGGCTAATAGTTCGTTAATAGTTGGCCAATATTTACATGCGGCTTGTGTTGTGGTCGCATTATGAAAATATTTGCCTACAAATTGCTCATCTCGGGACTTTCATTGTCTATTGACGTGTCGTCGTCCTCCTCGCTCCCGCTGTGCGAACGACTCGCCGTCTTGACGAGGGCTTCCAAAACGTTTTCATTACAATAGTGCGTAGCCGCCGCCGCTGCCGCGCTGCTGCTGTTGCCGCCGCTGCTGCTGCTGCTGCTGCTGCCGATCGGACAAATGTGTCAGAGCTGAAACGTCATGATTAATGATGGTGGCAAGCATGTGGGCCCGAAGGCCGGGCTGCAGTTAAAGGCCCATACCGAGACAGCCTGGGGGTAGGGCAGTGCGGCCTGCCAACTGGGCCATGGGAAGGGACGCACAGACACTGAGAATGGGTTTGGGTTTGAGAATGGAAATGGAAATGGGAATGGGACCACAACTGGCCCTGGCACTGTCTGTAGCTGTGCCATCATTCTATCAAGGTAATTTAGACAAAAACCCAAGAACACGACACCCGAAATGTAAACAACGCACCGAACACTAACCGAAACACTTGGCGAGGCATTAGCCGAAATTAGGAATTAATCCTTGGCTGCACTCGCGGCGACTCGTTGGGCATTGTTGTGTCTTGACCATGGCAACAACTGTCGAAAGGGCGGCCAACACAACGAAAGCGAGAGACAGACAGACATAAAGAGAGGGGTGGCATATGTGTGGAAGCATATGCTTAAAGAGCTGCAACACACATTGATGAATATGAGAATAATATTGCCACACATCGTGCAGAGCTTAAGCTCAGCCATAATCAACAAAAAGCTTACAGGTCTTTAAGATTGAGAGAGATATTATCTATTGTTTATTATTGTAGGTTGTTCAGCTGAAACCATCTTAGAAATTTAACAATTTATTTATTTTATTAAATTATTATTTATCTGAGCTGTCGATAGTCAACTTTTTTTTTTATTGAAAATTGTTTTAATTTAATATTAAATTATGGTAATTTCTCAATATTTTCATATAATTCACATAACATATATTTCACATAACAATGAAATCTAGACTCAACTCTGTTCAGCTTTCTTAAATTAACTTAACATCTAATTCTTACTAAAGCCATATTTGTACATATGTATATACATAAATCAATAACTTTTAACTCTACAATGTTAGTCTAAAACTTTTCCAAACAAAAAGTATTGTTTTTGAATTAAATACAATATAAATTA